ACCTATTCGAATAGGTGACATCACCTATTCGTGTTGAATAGGTGATATCACCTATTCGAATAAGTGATATCACCTATTCGAATAAGTGATATACCTATTCAATTTGAATGAGTGATATCACCTATTCGAATAGGTGATATCACCTATTCGCATTTCTTACAACAATAAATAATGAATGCTCCCTTCCTCGAGATTATCTAGATTTTCATTGGAACCAAGCAAATTCGGGCTGCGGTAGGGTCTGTATGTCTCGTCACGTGACTCGCGAGGTTTTTCGATAATATTAACTTCCAGGTACCTCACACATGGAGATGTGTATTGGGTGATGCATGTTTATGGTTTACACAAAGCGTATAAGGAAAGTTTAAAAAGTTGTACAAAGCCGAAGGGTTCTCCGACTAACGATGGATAAATTGAGTGTCTTGTAAAAAAGCTTGGGTGCGAGCAAGTAGGAAGAGAATTTCGATCGAAGTACAGGTAAACAAGTCAGAGAATGTCACCTGCTTCTTGGGTATTCTTGGGTGAAATAGAAGTCTTATATGAGCCGCCCCATGCGAAAAGGGCCCTTATGTATTTTGACGTCATAATGAGAAAAACGCCGGTAAAGATAACGTCATAAAATGCAAGTTGCGTATGTTATATATTTTTCCAACATTTTAACCTGAGCGCTATCAACTTATTTTCATTGTTGTAAATATCATTTAGAGCCAATAGAATATCAGGGAAAAAAGAAAATATGAATTTTTAGAGCTAAGTTCATATAAGTGGACATTTCCAATATCGAATATTAAATTTTGCTGATATAATTAGGTGTAGTTTTTTATCCAATTTTTTATACATTGAAAGCTATTGTACGTGATAATCGATATGTAAGTCTGCATGTACACATCCTTTTTAACACAAATACATAGTAACCGAATTAAAATAATTAACAATAAATGAAAAAATAATTCTAAAACCGCTTATATATGCAATTAAAATTTTGTTCAGCTCTACAGGTAGCAAATGACGAAGTTTGAAAAGGTTGATTCTTTGTAAAGCATTAAATTTAATGAAGAAATCATCTGATTTTTTTTTTCAAAACAACATTCATTATGTGTGTATAAACGCGATTGACGATCTGCATTCGTCACGGTCATTTCCGGGTCAATGTTTTGTTATCTCATTCAAGTAGAGAACCGGCTTTTACTGTTTACGGAGACTGCCTAGCTTCTGTGTTTGCTACGATAAATATTTCATGAAATTTTAGAATAAAATCTTGTACCATTTGTTAAAAGTCTTGGACCAGGCGGAAAAAAAATGAGAAAAAAGTAAATGCTGCCAACGAAAAAAATATTGACCAGATTTTTATTATGCAATCTATGGGAAGATTTGAGTTTGCTAAAAAAAAAAATGGGGGGGGGGTGTTAGAGGAGAGTGCAATTAGCCATCATTCTATAACATTCAATTATCAGTGAAACATTATGTATGGAAACACTCGTCCCCCAACAACATGCCTGCATTTCATTCCTAGTAAATAATGGGTCAATATTTATAAAACCCCAAAAACATAATACGAGGAAATTAAATCTGATTATTTATTTCCCTGTAATATTGCATCTGATTATTATTTTAATTTCTTCCAAAGATGCAGTGTTTGTCTGAATTAAAGGTTACGAAAATAAATACTTTTTTGTGTAGGGTTTGCAATAAGGTGTTTAATCTTTAACTGATAAATGGGAAGAATGAGTGCTTATTTTTTTAATGAATCATATTTGGCCATTTCTTTAGGCATGTACATAAGAACGTTTTTCAGAAGGGGGGGGGGGGGCTTAAAATAACAAGTTAAAAACTAATATAGGCCAAAAAAAAAAGAAAAAAAAGAAATGTATTAGGGGGTTAATCCCTTTTCGACAAAAGAAAAATTAGCTAAAATGGCAGTGCTCAGCAATGTCGGGGATACAACCAGAGGTAACTCAGTAGATAGATACAAGAATATCCAATGCTACAAATTTATCAGACCTCGGGTCAAGGGCGTTTCACAAATACTAGAACATGTCAAAATTTTACGAGCTTGACAGTACCAGCAAAGAAAATTTGATTTCTTTTTAAATCTGAGATAAATACTTCTATCACCGTGCAAAATCGACTCGTAAAATAAATCTTAGTTTGAATATTATTTAAAACATACATTCTTTTTATCAATTTTAATTACAAATCTTTATTTAGTGTAAAAAGCCCTATATAAAAACATTGAAGTAATTATTTAATTTAAACTTCTTTCATGTCAATCTTATCAAAGCTTTTCACAGACTTTGTAATTTACTCAAGACATGTCATTTTATCAATTCGCTAATTGTTGTCAAAGAACTCTGTTATATACCAGTATATAAATTGTATGTGTTCGGATGCCCGACAAATTTACTGGCCACTTCCGTCTGTGTCCCTGCATGTATTTCTTGAAAGTTAAAATTGCCGTCCATCGTTAAAAGATTTAATAAACTCGGAAACTGATTTACTCATTACTTTAGATTTACAATATGTGATTTCGGGAAGAGTCCTAGGGATACGGCACTACTACTTCCGGCCCGCAGCGCCACTTATTTCACTGCCAACATTCCTTCTTTCCCGATCAACGATATATCTTATTAGACCCAAACTAAGCGGTCACACTTCCACAAAATTTGAGAATCACAAAATGGATGGAAGAATATGTAGGCTTAAGCTTATAATTTTTTTTTCTTCAAACGAAATTTAGCGAAAAAGGGGGGGGGGGGGGGGTTACATGATGAATCAATATGACAAAAAAAAAACTTCAAACTTCAAAATATATTCTGGACTTATAATGACCGTAGAAGGATATGATAATAATATGAAAATTATATCCTCATCCTCAGTTTTTGTGAGATTACATGTTCACTGCAAGACATACGAATATTGACCCGCTTATAAGTCGGTACAGTGCAGATATTGTGACGGTTTACGCCAATATTGCAGGGAATACGGCCAACTTTAAAATAATGTTCGTATGCCCTCTCCCGACTCAGGACGAAAAAAATGGGTCGGTAGGTAGGTGAGAATTCCCCCCCCCCCCAAGAAAATTTTGATATAAATGCTGAATTTTCAAAATCTATTTTCCGAAATGCAATAAAAAATGCTTCCTGGCAGTTAAAAAGAGTTTTGAGTCGGGCCATTTTTAGCCGGCGGAGAGGGCAATCAGCCAATTTTGACAGATGGTCCGGTCTAACGTGTACAATATCATAAAAAACATATATTACCCATGTAAAGGGGGAAGGGATTGTCTCGGCACTTATTATTTGCCTGTGTCAATATTTACCAATGTAGGAATTTGAATACATATATGTTCAGTATTGTAGGTACATATCCTCCCCCCCCCCCCCTTCCCTAAACTTCATTTGTCAGAAATTCTCCTCAAACTTCATTCTTTAACTTTTCAGAAAATTTTAACTGGATTGTGTTACTGCAGATCCCCCCTCCCCCCTTGCCGATCAATGTTCTGTATCCGCCCTTCAAGCTTTCTTTCATAAATTCATCTAGGTCATGAATAAAACAACAAAAATTATATCCTTATGATGAAAAATGATCAAACAATGAACTCTATAACTACAAGGAAGACGCAATTTATCAGTCTTATCTTAAGGATTCTTTTTAAAATTTTAAACATTGTTTTTCATAAACTACAAATAAAATAAAATACAAGTCTGTAAAACATCTAAACACATATCTTTTATTTGTTTGTTTTTTATTTAATATTTACTTTTCTCTGAACCGTATATCGGAGCAATATTCACGTCTACAGTGTAACATGACGTCGCGAGTGTATAACGTTATTATTTAAAAAAAAAAAAAAAAAAAAAAAAAACATACTGGGTATTTACCAATATAAATCCATTATCTGTGTTTTATTTATGAGAAAACTTGCATAAAGAATTTTTTATCGGATTTTTTAAATAATTTCTGTTAAGTTGACCAAAATGGACATTTATGTGACATGCAAAAATGTCGACACTCTTAAAGTGTACATGTAACTTACGTCTAATCCAGAGTCCACGGTTTCGACAACTAGTATATAATTTATATATACTTTAACGAAAACAACTATATCAAATATTGCATGTAAAATAATTCATAAATTTTTCATATATATTTTCGTGTTATAAAGTAATGTTTTGTTTTTTTTCAATCAGATACATATTTCAAATATTTCTGAGAGGGATATACCAGGTACAATGTAAAAGCGTCAGTTTGAACGTCATTTTTCAACGTCATTTCTCAAGGTTATCTTAACATTTTCTTAACCTTTGATTCCCTATATCTCAGTAATTATTCTGAATATTTGAATCAAACTTTATATTTGGTTACTTTACACTATAATCTATCATAATCCATTAAAAAGTCAATTTTGAAAATTTTTACCTTAAGGTCAAGATCTAGTAAATAAAAGGAGCCTACAGATTCCTCAAATTTAAGAAATAAATTCCTTTAATGAAGCTTTATAAGTATAGCTTGGTAAAATAAGGTGTTTCGGGGCATAATTTGTAGGTAAACAAGACAAAAAATCATATTTTAAACTGTCATTTTCAATGAAAAATTAAGAAAATCAGTCATGAACATGGGAGTTTTTTCCATATCAGACAAATTAAATGTATCCATATTGCCTACAGTCTCTCAGAAAACGGTAAGAAGTATGTTCTTAGCTTTTTCTTTAAAATAATACTAAATTGAATATAGGTTTCGGGATTACTTTTCACATGATTTCAAATTGAATTCCAGAAAAATACTTTATTTTCTACATAATTCTATTACAGCCGTAAAGTACGGGAAAAAGAAAGTTTAATTTGATTATGACGTCATAATGGATTTAGCATCAAAAAGGCAGTCTAAATTCATTTACTAGATCTTGACCTTAAGGGCCCTTTTCGCATGGGACGGCTCATATTATACATTTGTATCTGATTAGAATAGTTTTGTTATCATCATTCCAACTAATTTATTAACAGATTTTTCTTGAATTCGAGGATAATGATGTTATTATCAGCTGATTAAGGAGGAGTAGTGTAAGTGTCAGATGGGTACGAACGTCATCTTGTGACAGCATCACCTTTGTTTGGGTAAATAATTTGTTCAGAATACGCTTCATTTATCAACAAAAATTTAGCTGTTGCATGTCAGTAGGTCTAGTTTTTTAAGTATTCAATGTTTGAAAGCACTTATCAGGTCCAGTACAATCTTTTGATTTAGCTATATATATAGCTTTATTAAGCTGCTCAGAATAGCTTAATTTAGCTATTTTATCACACTTTTTCTTAAATGTGTACTTTTCTCAGCATGCACAAAAAGTCGCACCTTGGTGCAGTGATGATACTCAACCTTGAACTTATCTGAAATTGATGCATTTAAAACTCACTCATTAAAATCTCCTTGCATACATGTGATAATTTTTAGGCCCAAATACTGTACAGCAGTCCTCAAAATACAGGAATTTGGGTGAAAATACTGTACATTGTTCATCAAAAAACTATACAAAAAAAATGTAAAAAATATTGACCAAAAATCAATGTAAGAGGTTCATTTTTTAAGCTCTTCTGAGCCAAAGGCCCAAAGAGCTAATGCTATGGCCATTTGTGCGGTGTGCGTAAACTTTTTAGAATATGGGCCATAACTCAAGAACCCTTTGGCCAATTATTGTCAAATTTGTCATAGGGTATCCTTGGGCCAAGGGCTTCCATTTATACTAAAACTAGAGTTGTGACCCTTAAACAAGGGGAGATAATTAGGAAAATAGAAACAAAAGAGACTTTGTACTCAAAGTTCTAAAAGTTTTTGGGCTACATACGCAATCGATACAGTTACTTCTTCAATGAATTTATAAAGGAGGCCAATTATGGTCAACAAGATAATTGATTGGTAATTAATTCAGTACATTCAATGAGAAGCAATCATACTTATCCATGCCTCAATGCACACAAGGTAGTGGACAGTTACTCAAATAATAGAAATTTATCTTTTGCTTAAAAGAAATCAAAAGTTGCAAAGTTGGAGCTATCTTTGATTTTGCTTGTTGTTTCGATAGCCCATAGCACATATATGAATAGTCAAATACATGCAACTTTTTGTCTATTTCTTACCAAAATAATTTTTGTGAAAAACTGCATATAAATAGCTAAATCAAGCTATTTTGAATAGCTTAATAAAGCTAAATAGCTATTTCAAGCTATATAGCTAAATTAAGAGATCATTGTACTAGACCTGCTTATTTCCCAATCCCAACGATAAGACTTTCTTTATATATTCTGCAAATTCTCTCTGCATTTATCATTGAACAAAATTCATATGACTGCAATTATATGACCATCTTCTTCAGTTTAGAGAGCATGTTATAGAGGATATTTTGGTTAAAGTTTTGGTCTGTTTCATGCAGTGTTTGAAATATTCTTTCATCTTACACAATTGTATACATTAAGATTTATTTTATAGCTAAAGTACAAGAGAACTGCAGCATATAAGACTACATGTACATCGACTTTGAATAATCTACCCGGTATATCCTCAAAAAGGCAACTCAAATACAGGTATGAAATTGATGTCACAAAATAAGTTTTTGGACTTACATTCACTCTTATAATTCATATACATATAAAGCATATAAAAAATAAAAATAGAAAAGAATTAAAGGTTCATCAGGTGACAGCTCAATCATGTATGGAATATTATTAGGCCAAATAAAAAATTTTTGTGGTTCCCATTACCTGACCGTCCCTATTTTAGATCCTCGACCCTAAACTTTTTTCGACAATATTCATATTTATTTTCCGGAATTTTCCGCAATTTCCGTCATCCACTTCGGTATTAGTTTTAGTTCCAGCAATGGCGGCCTCCATTTAAAAATCGTTTTAACACGTAGTGCAAGTGTTTGATGGTGTTAAATCTAAAGCAAGCTAGCATGGCGTGGCAGTATACCTTTTTCCAGCGCCATGTTTTTTTGTTTGTTTGTTGTTTGGTTGCCAAAATTAAATAAATATGCCCAAGAGTGGCGAGATTCAGTTAGTTGCTCTGTTTACAGCTGGTTTATAACAAGTGCATGCTGATTAGCCCCTTTATTATTTAATGCACGCAAAGGTGTGAAGTCAGAATAGGAAATCACTTCTCGCTTGAAAGCACACAGACAGCTGGCCAGGTAACGTTTTTTGAAGTTAGGGGGAAGATAACATGAGAAAACATTTATTTGATTGCATTGATTACGCAAGAATTAGCCCAATGTGTAAGATAGATTAACTTGTAAACTATTAAATAATTTATATCAGGATCATCTCTTTTAAACCGAAAGTAGAAAAAAAAACAGTTCATGAGGAAAAGTGAAAAAGAAGCTGATTTTACATGAATAAAGTCAACTTGCAAAACACCAATATATATGAGAAATGAGCTTGGAAGTATGAAGTCTTCAATGAGGCAGAAAGGTTTCATGAAAGGATTTAAAATTTTAATAATATTAAATATTTGTAATTCTGACAAATTTGAATGATTCTATGTCATCTTGCTTAGGTGATTTATTTTGTTTTAAACATTACTGTACAAAGTATAGGTGTCACATTCTTTTCCTCTGACAGCTCTTAGCAGAACTCTCATGTCCGTTTTCTAGTTTATAGTTCAGAATTTATTATTATGTAAAATAAGAACTATTCTGGATAAAAGTAATTAATTAATTTCATTTATAAACACTGATTTAAAAAAAGGATGTTCACCTTGGACTTTATTTTTTACAAAAAGAAAAGATTGTGTTTTCATTATTTTTGATTTAAAAATATTTGTTTCATATTCATAACTAGGGTGCCCCCTGCCAATGTTGACTAGTATATTTAACGCCACATCAAAATGCCACTTATTTTCTCCTTCACTCTGTTCATCCACAAATAAAACATTTCTTTTCTGAACCATAGTTGGAAAAGACTGAATTCAAAATAAACAAAACATTTATTAGTTATGAGTTATATACTCAGCTCTACACAAAATATTTCTGTTTTTTCGCATTCTATGTACATTTTTAGATTTTATATACCTGTATAAAGACTACTGCAGCAGATTCCGATGGAGAAATCATGATCTATATTTAAGATTTAATGTATAATGCTTAAGATATCCATTAATTTTACTTATAATATACAATTCTGAAATTAATATCATCCTTTAAAAAAAAGGATAGCACATATCATCTTCGTAAACACTTAACATTCTAAAAAAAGAAAATATAATATCCAAATAACAGTTAAATAATTCAAATTGCTCATGCTGATTTTCTTCAAACATTGTATTTTCTAGATGAGTATGGACTCAAATGAATAGAATCAGCAAACAACTGTTTAAATACCCAAGACATTTTATTCACACATTAAAGCACATATCTAATCCATATGCTGAAGAGAAAACATATCTAACACTCTACACATAAAATAGTTCACTTATGCTAACGAAAAGAAATAGGTATTATTTAGAAAAATTTAGAAAATCATTTTGTCCAAAAAAAAAAAAAATCCCTACCTACCCTATTTTTTTGGAGGTGTAACTGGAACCACACATATTTTTTTGTTTGGCCTTAATGCTAAGTTTCCAAATGTCAAAATTAAGGGTATTCAATATATTCCATACAAGTTGTCAATCATTTATTAGTGATTTATACAGAGGTTCATTTGCATATAAATGTTGTTAACATTGTTTTACTGTCTTTATTAACTTGTAATACTAAATTTTATAAATTGACAAATTCATTCTTTTTAGAAAGTGCATATAATTTGGAAAAGAGACCATCAATCCACTGGGGGGTATCACATGAAAGCAATGATTATAGAATATTGTAAGGCTAGAGGAGTTATAGTACAACAGGCAGGCGAGTAATGGTACTTTGTTCTGGAAATTTTTTGCCCCAGTTTTATTTTTCTCATTCTGCCCTCCTTACAAGTAGGTGAATTTAAAATGGGACAAATTCGAAGAAGGCAGCATATATCTTTTAAACACAAATGTGTCTGATCAAATTTGAAAAGGGCAAAATTGTTTTCAAGGGTGAAAGAGTGAATATTTTAAAAATTAGAATGGGGTGAAAATATCCAATAATACAGGTTATATGTATTAACACAGTACATATGGATTTCTCTTTTCTTTATAAAGAAAATAATTTGTTCTGTAAAAGGACAAATTTTGTTCTGATTTGTATCAAATAAATAAATATGTGCCAGATTTATTATTTTGCAGGCACCTAAGTTACCATCAGTTGTATGTCAAGCTGTGCAAAAATTCTATGTCATGTTACAGAATCTTTCTTAAATACAGGTATATGTCTGCACATCTGGCAATCTTAGGACATCACTGGATGGTTTTGTTAAAAAAGATTACAGAGTAAACACACACTTCCAGCATGAAGACCAGCCAGTTGCCTCACCTGTCCTGACATTGTTAAAGGTAAATGGTCCTTTCAGAAAAGGATCTGACAATGCAAAGGCTTGCTAATCAATTAAAGATTTCTATTTACTAATAGGTAATTAATTTGAATTTCTGTAGCTTAAAAATTTAATGATATGAATTAAAAAAAATATTTTAATCAAAATTATTTTTATTTCAGTACTTTGTGACAGTGAAAAGACATGGCTTTAAATTACTGTATCAGAGATCAATCCAGGTTATAAATCTGAGGAAAACAATAAAGCATCCACTTCGAGCTACTTATATCACTGCCTTAATAAGATGTCTGCATGTGTAACTAACAAAGGACAGTGACCAGTTGTAGCTATGATATCAGAGGGCATCCTGAAAAACACTCATCACTAAGAATAGAAAACTTCAAATGACTTTTGTATCAATCCTTTTGAATTTCATCTGGCTTGGAATTTCAGTAGCCTTTAGCATCCTTCAAGCATTTCATGAAGTACATGTACCAATTTGCAGGCATAAAATGTTTGAAACAGATTGCTTGTCCCAAATAAAAAAAAATAAATTCTCTGCCAATTAACAGTGTCATAAGCAGTTGATTGATATCACAGTTCCACTGGCATAGTATTTGTGGTTGAATGGTGCCATTTTTAAGAAAACTTTTCACAAAAACCATGAAAACATCAGATGGAAAGAAGCATCTACAAGAAAAACAGTTAACACTTTCTTGAATATTAACAATGATATATCATGCCCATTTACATCCTTTATATAAACTAATTAACCTAATCATAGAGAATTATGTACAAATATGTCATTTTGTGTATTTATAGTGTATTAAATTGATTTTACTAATTTATAAATATTTATGTTTTTCACAGTCATTAACATTTACAAATAGAAGTACATATAACATAAAAATATTACATGTTTAGTAGGATAACGTGAAATTGTTATACCACGAAAACCATCGCTGACCTCACCTCAGTCAGCAATGGTTTTAAGGGGTAAGAATTTTACATCACCCAAAATAAACAGGTAAATTTTAATATTTTTCTTGGCATAAAATGCATTTTAAAGAAAACATCAAGGTGAAACAAATGTGCAAACATTCTGCACAGTTAACATTTTTTATTACTGTATATACTGTTACCCGTAGTCATGCATTTTCAACCACTGGGATGTAATGTTTGGCATACAGTATGGTAATAGTACTTGTTAACAAATGTTTTTTAAACCAATCGAATTTGACTATTTAACATAAAAGTGTATCATAACAAATTTATCTAGCATAATGGTGCTGTAAGTAACCATGGAATGTGAGCTTGTGTGAACTTGATCCTGAATTATTAAGTTTTGAATATTGTAAAAAAGAATTGTGCAGCCTAAACTTTAACTTGTACCTGATTTAAATGGAGTTCTGTCATTAACAACTTGGAAGTTGGAAGTTGTCACACTCTTCATGAGTATAATAACTGGGGGATCTGCTTCATTTGCCGATACATGGATAACACATTCACTCAAAGCACTGTCCCTTTTTCAGTACCTTGTGCAGCCCTGTAATATATAATGACAAATGGAGAAAAATGCCTATTTCAAGAAAAAAAGTCTGTCTCATAATTGTAGGAGTATTGGAAAGGGGGGGGGGGGGGTCATGAAACTTGGCGGTTAATACAGTTTGTATGTGTAAATGAAAAAATGCCTTCTTCTTTGTAGAATAAAAAATGATTATTTTTTGAGTGTGTGTGACCATTTTATTTCCGAATAGACAGGGTAGCTTATAGCCTACAGAATGAGCTGACCATTTTTATTTATTGTAGTAATTAAATTAAAAAAAAAAAGAATGTGTTTTCTACAAAGATCATATGTTATAGATGTGGTATTCAACTTTGTATTCCCATGGTCGATGCATTTGGGTACATCTATTTTTTTTATTTGCTTTCAATGACATCGCATTCAATATCCCAAACTCATATATACCTGTCCAATACTCCAAATTATACCACTGTAAGCTAAATCAATGCTTTAAATTTATGAAACCAATCTGTAGATAAGCCTACCTTTTGAATACAGACGATTTTAGCATAAAAACGATTTAATTTTCCCTTTTTGCTTAAGTATGTTGGCTAATCTTGGCCCCCTCGGAATAGCTTGTGTTTACGTTAATAATGAAAAAATAAAGCAATTAAACGCTATTTACCTGCATCTATCAATCCACTTTCTCCTCTTCTTTGCAACAATCGGGGATCAAAACAAACTGCGATGCTTACAACTTAAGTAATCCATTGTCTCCAAGAACGCTCAGGTACCCGGGAGTTATAAAACGAAAGTGAAAGTCAACGAGACTTACAGACCCTTTGAATTTTCCTATAGTATACATGATAGATAAGTGTAATAAATATAATTTGTGAGCAAAACAAACAACAAATTCTACTGGGGTGCTTAAAACTAAATGCGAAGCTGTAATCCATTGTCTGCAAGAATGGTAAGTTATAAAACGAAAGTGAAAGTAAATGAGAATTAAAGGCTATAGTCTTGGGAGCAGTTGTTATTTCATAAATAATTTGAATAGGTGATATCACCTATTCGAATAAGTGATATCACCCATTCAAAATGATTAAGTGATATCACCTATTCGAAAAGGTGATATCTATGGAACGCCAAATTAACATATATTCAAATATTTGTACCTATCTTCAAATAATTGTACCTACATGTATCTTCAAATGAATTGTACCTATCTTCAAATGAATTGTACCTATCTTTAAATCAATTGTACCTATCTTCAAATGAATTAGAGAAAGGTATAATTCAATTATACCTATCTTTAATTCATTTGAAGATAGGTACAATTGATTTGAAGATAGGTACAAATGCAATGAATTGAAGATAGGTATAATTGATTTAAAGATAGGTACAATTGAATTGAACCTATCTTTAATTACTAAGATATTGGCAATAATAACTACTCCCTTCATTATACGTCATTTCCGTTAGGTCTACCGATCTCCGACATCTCTCGAGTATATATATTTTTCAGCTCACTTATTGACATACATGTGTATTTTAATAAGTATGTAATGCTTTTTGCACATTTTAACATATCTTTATTTCTCCTTTCATCCTCGTTGTCGTCGCTCTGTGTGTTCTGTGCGTTTCCCTCCATGTTCAATATTGTCTCCTAGGGAGCGTTCATTATTTTCAATAACACAAAATGAATTGAACCTAGGTATAATTGAATTGTACCTATCTTCAAATCCTTTGTGGACATGTTCTAATTGTACCTATCTTCAAATCAATTGTACCTATCTTCAAATCAATTGTACCTATCTTTAAATCAATTATACCTATCTTCAAATGAATTAGAGATAGGTATAATTGAATTGAACCTATCTTTAATTGAATTGAAGATAGGTGTAATTCCGTTAAAGATAGGTATAATTTATTTGTACCTAGGTATAATTATTTAGAGATAGGTATAACTATTTACACCTATCTTCAATTCAATTGTACCTATCTTTAATTCAATTGTACCTATCTTCAATTCATTTGAAGATAGGTACAATTATTTGAAGATAGGTACAAATATTTGAATATATGTTAATTTGGCATTCCATAGATATCACCTATTTGATTTGAATAGGTGATATCACCTATTCGAATAAGTGATATCACCTATTCAAAAGGAATAAGTGATATCACCTATTTGAATGGGTGATATCACCTATTCGAATAAGTGATATCACCTATTCGAATAAGTGATATCACCTATTCGAATAGGTGATATCACCAATTCAAATCAAATAGGTGATATCACCTATTCGAATAGGTGATATCACTTATTCGAATAAGTGATATCACCTATTCGAATAGGTGATATCACCTATTCAGAAGCTGAATAGGTGATATCACTTATTCGAATAGGTGATATCACCAATTGAATAGGTGATATCACCTATTCGAATAGGTGATATCACTTTTTGGCAGTAAATACCAAAACGGCGCCTCATAGGGAAGTGCTAACTGCAGATAAGATTAGATGTCAAGTCTGACCAGTTTTTGTGAGGGGGTCAAGATTGTGTCAAGATTGCAGATACATAGCTTCATGGATGTAGGAAATAAAAAAAAAATGAAATAGTTTTTTTCAAAAATTATGTTTAAAAAGATTGAGAGATTGATTGTATTTTGTTTAACGTCCCTCTCGAGAATTTTTCACTCATATGGAGACGCCACCACTTGCCGGTGGAGAGCTGCAAATTTTGTCCTATACTCGGCACTTACGGCCATTGAGCATTGAGGGATCTTTTTCGTGCCAGCACCTACTGCGACACGGGACCTCGGTTTATACGGTCTCATCCAAAGGACCGGTCTCCACGTCCCACAGTGGGATTCGAACCCGCGACGTAAGGATCAACTCCTTACTTCGCGACTCTAGAGCAGACGCTCTAACCACTTGTTTAAAAGAAATACAAGG